GGGCCGGGCGCGGGGGGAAGTTGGGGCGCGCGTGAGGAGCCGTTAGCGACGGTTAACGGCAGCGGTGGCTCCTTTGCTTTTATCGTTCCCGCAGCTCATGGCTCTGGCCACATTCATCTGCTTTGTTGCTTCAAGGTCCCACGAAGCCTACACAGCGCTTGCGGTCATCGAAGTTGTCATCACTTTGTTGTTTTTCCTACTGTACTTACTAAAACTAGACAAAAAGATGAAATGGCTCTTTTGGCCTCTGGCTGTAAGTATGGGGGTGCCCTTGTCAAAGTGAACTGGGTTTGTGTGTGGAAACACACATGGAAGCTATTTTCATTCGGTTCAGTCATCATTTCTGTAAAGATAAAACAAAAGTAGTACTTTCATTTGATACCAGTTTTACCCTATAGAGATCATGTTCTTTTGCATATTTTTAAATAATATGTTTATCACAGTTAACAGTCCATCCACTAATAAAGTTCATTTGTTTTTCTTTATTAGATTTTATTGTCATTTTATCTATCACAAATTAAATATATCTTTGTATTTAATGAGTTCTCTTACCTTCCATTTTTTTAATCTACTGGTTTAACCTGTCACATTATAGCCTGACTTTGTAGATTTCACTGCTAGAAAAAAAAATCAAATGAAGATAGATCATCAATGCTCTTTTTAACATCAAACCATTGGGTGTCACTACAGATCATAACTGAGTATTAGTTTAATCCTATTTTCATAAAGACAACTATATTTTAGTTGTACTACTCGCACTACTTTGGGAGCTATTCATATTCTTTAGGTATGTGTTACAGAATAAATATTTTGCTTCCACTGGCTTTTTTCAGGATATTTTCAACTCGGTGATTGCAGCTGTGTTTCTCCTAATTGTGTGCCTGTTTGCCATAATAATCAAGACAAACTATGGGACGCTGGTTGGGGGAGTAAGTAGGAGAATTAATAATGAATTTATTAAATTATTAAGAGAGGCATGATTTGGATTTAGCATTTTGACCAGAACAAGGGGAAAAAAATGTCATGGAAGAATAAACTCAGAAGTCAGGAGAATACATGAAGGCAGGAGACTAAACAGAGAGATTGAAAAAACCACAGGTTTGGGTAAAATAATTGATATCTTTCATGCTGGGAGAAACAGACTTGCCCTCAGCCACGTTCTTAGAGCACAAACTGTTTTGAACTGCTCTCTTCCTCGAAAGCTTACGTAGCCTTTCTCAGCAGATCTGGTAGTTCAATTTTGAAATATTGACATGCTTGAACGAAAAAGTTTTGTATGCGTGGGGAACCAGACTGACGGGCAAAAGCTGAGAAAGTCAGCTCTGCGGGGAATCCTGAGAGTTAGCGTTTTACAAATACCTACTTTTTTTTCCTTCCAGTTGCCTGCCTGAAGCTCTATATTTTTAAAATATTTATATATACTTTCCTCAGTTTCAGGTATGTTTCTAATTTAGAGCTTCTGAGGAGACAGGAAGGTTTTTTTTTTTTTTCTCCTAATTCTAGGGCTGTTTCTATAAATGTTGGCTTCTGGCCAAAGCTATTAAGTAGAACAGCCCTTAAAAAAAAAAAAAAAAAAAGCAGAATTTTCATTTTGGATAAAAAGCATCATCATGGATAAAACAGCATTAGCTTGGCTTTCAGGGAGGACATATTATTTCCAAGTCTTCAGGCAAACACCAAACAAAATCAGGGTGTAGGCTGTTAGGATCACATCAAAAGAAAATCACTTACATGAAAGGTTTATGCCAGTTAAATATTAACTTATCAGTTGTCACAAATCATGTGTATATTTAGAACGCAAGAACCAGCTTGGAGAGATGTAATCACTGCTTCTTTGAGAGGCTGTAGATGAGTCACTACAATAAAAGAGGTTATGAAGTTTAACAGGAGGCTCATATGAGAAAACTAACTTTATTGTTGTTACTTGCAGGTGTTGGGCCTTGTTTTGCTTGTTCTGTGCATTGTAGATGCAGTTGTTCTTTTCCGCAAGATCAGCCTTAGTGGACCCAGAGAAAGGAATTATCCTACCAGATGAGAGCTACCTTGTTAGCTAAAGAGCAATTTCTCAGTAAGGCATTTGTGTTACTGCATTCTTCTAAAGAATCTGTATTTTAATGTGTTCACTTTTGAACTGCCTATGTATTTTTATACCCTTTCACAAGTTTTGTTCATAAGTATTAATAATTCTTGCACTTAAGTATTTTCAATGTTGCAGTTTTGCTGATTTAAGCATCACTGTGTTTTTCTAAATGCTTTTTTTTCCCACAGATGAAAATGTAATCTTATAATTATCTTCCTCTAATAAAAAATGAAAATACAAATGAGCCTAACCGGATTAGTTAACAGTATTTATTAAATACCCTTGAAGTAAGACTTGATTTGCTGTGTGAGCGGGTTGTTCTCGCCCTTACTCCCGCTCCCGCTCTGCAGAGCCGCCCCGCGCCGCTCGGGGCCGGCGCC